TTGTATGCATGAATAAATAAAAAATAAATCTTTTTTTTTTCTTTAAAAAAAAGAGTATATAAAATCTGACCAGTATTCTTCTAAATAGTCATGGTCATAAAAAATGTGGGAAGTTCAAAAGATTGTCATGGACAAGAGGAGCCTGAGGAGGCTTAATAACTAAATATACCATGGTACCCTAGATTGAACCCTAGAGCAGAAAAAGGACATAAGGGTGACCTAAATAACCTATGGACCTTAGTTAAAAATAATGTGCCTGGCAAGATCCCTGGTACAGGGATCAAAGTCTCAGTGCTGAACCCTCCCTGGTGGCGCAGCGGGTTAAAGCACAGCACTGCAAGCTGGCCACAGTCACTTCAGTGTGAGTTTGACCCCTGCCCCAGAGGTGATCCACATGGCGAGACAGACCTCTCCTGTCTCACCTACTGCTCCCCTCAGCAGTGTACTTTGTCAGTCTGCTTGCTCCGCTCCCCACTCTGTCTCTGGTGAATCCTTTCACGGCCCCTGTGCCTCTGGCCTATACCCCAGTTCTGTATTTATTTAAATAAATAAATCTTTAGGAAAAAAAAAAGTCTCACATTTTGTGGGGGTGGAGTGTGGAATGAGATCAAAAACAGTGGGGGGAGGGAAATGCACTGGACTATGGTGATGGCACATGGGTGATTTGGTGATGGGAAACCCAAGGGGATTGCAACTGAGATGGAAAAATGCACAAAGTGATGTAAAAATAAACTATTATATTATTTACAAATAATAATAATAAAATAAAGTCTCAGTAATATCAAGCTATTGCCAGCCCGTGTGGTATGAGTTCAATCCCTAGCCAGGGAGCTAATCTACATGGTGCAGCAGAACTTCACTGACCCACCCGCTGCTCCTCTCAGCAGTGTGTTTTAGTAGATCTGTCTATTCTGTTCCCCACTCTGTCTCTGATGAATCCTCTCACCTAGGCACCTATGGCCTGTACCCCAGTTCTTATATGCATAAATAAATAAAATAAATCTTTAAATAATAATAATAACGTGCCAATATTGTTCCTTGTTGTAACAAATGTACCATACTAATGTAAGATGCTTACAATGGAAAAATTGGGTTATAACTATACAGGAACTCTCAACCAAAAATATATATGTAATAAAACATAAAATATATACTAAAAATAAAAAGGACTAATTCCCATGATAAACAGACGGCTTTTATAATTCAATATGAAAAACTATATAATGAGAAAACCAACAGGGAAGGAAAGAATAAAGGAAAATGAGTAGTTTACAAAACAGAAACATGAAAAAAAGTAACTTCTTTTTAAGTAAAGAAACTAAATTAAAGCAACTCTAAGAGTTCATTTTTCACTGGTGAGAGTGGCCAGTTTCATTTAAAAATTTATTAATTCCCAGTATGAGCAAGGTTGTGGGGAAAGTGGCTGTACTTCCCCACAAGGGTGTAAAAACCTCTAGCTCCGCCAGCACCCTCTCCCAGGCTCTGCAACCCCACTATCAGAAAGAGGGTGGGACCCAGGGCCAGCTTCAGACATCACAGGAATGCAGGAAGAGCAGACATACTTAATAAACTGAGTTGATGAACCCAGGCAAGCTTTAATCTAGTTTTTGGTACTTTATGAAAAGTTTGGAGAATGAGTTTCCAAAGAAAGAGGACTCTTGTGAAAAGATAAGTGGACATGCGTGATTTTTGTTGTTCAATGATCACTCACCACCTTTTCTCCTGCTAAGAAGTTCTGTGTTTTGGGCCCCCCCTGGTGGCACAATAGGTTAAAGCACCGCACTACAAAGCTATCTGCAGCTGCTTCCCCATGAGTTCCATCATCAGCCAGGGAGCTGACCCACAAGGTACAGCAAACTTCTGTCTCACCTGCTGCTCCCCTCAGCAGTGCACTTCATCAATCTGCCTGTTCTGCTCCCCACTCTATCTCTGGTGAATCGTCTCACCGCTCCTGCACCTCTGGCCTATACCTCAGTTCTGTAAGCATGAATAAATAAATCTTTTTTTTTTAAAGATTTTATTTATTTATGCATACAGAACTAGGGTACAGGCCAGAGGTACAGGGGTGGTGAGAGGCTTCACCAGAGACAGAGTGGGGAGCAGAACAGGCAGATCAACCAAGTACACTGCTGAGGGAGCAGTGGGCGGGTCAGGAGAGGTCTGCCACGCCATGTGGTCACCTCCGGGGCAGGCGGGGATCGAACTCATGCGGAAGTGGCTTTAGCTTCTTAGTGCTGTGCTTTAACCTGCTGCGCCACCAGGGAGGGCCTAAATAAATCTTTTTTTAAAAAAAAGTTCTGTGGGGGCCCTCCCTGGTGGCACAGTGGGCTAAAGCACAGCATTGAGAAGCTAAAGCCACTTCAGCATGAGTTTGATCCCCACCCGGGAGGTGACCCACATGGCACAGCAGACTTCTCCTGACCTGTCCGCTGCTCCCCTTAGCTGTGTACTCCATCTGCCTGTTCTGCTCCCCACTCTGTCTGTGGTGAATCCTCTCACCGTCCTGAACCTCTGGCCTGTACCCCAGCTCTGTATGCAAAAATAAATAAATAAATCTTTAAAAACAAAAAAAAGTTCTGTGGTTGAGATGGAGCTAATCACTGCCCCAGCACCATAGGTGAGCATGGAACTCAGTCTGGCAAATCTGAGCAATCCCCCCACCACAGTGACTAGGTGAAGGATGTGACCCAAGGCAGGCAAGGTGACGACATCCTGAGACTTGGCTGGAACCACTGAGAAAGGGAGGCTCTCTTTCCCTGAGGGCTGCTAACCCAGAGGCTGTCTTCAGAATGAAATACAAGTGGAAAGAGGAAAGCAGCAGGACACATGGGGCATTATTTGGTGACATTATTTGAGTACCTGAATCCAGTCGTGGAACATGGATATCTCCTGGAGTTTTTGGTTCTTTGAGCCAACAGATTTCCTCTTTTTTTTCAGACCTGTTTGAGTTGAACAAACTGAAATCCTGCAAGTAGTGACTAAGGTTGACTATGCTGGGAGTGTGCCAGGGGATTCGGAGGGTGTCTTGCCTTCCAGAGATTTCCCTAACAGGCTGCCCGACCACTCAGGACTTTCTCAGAGCGATGGTTCTTGATCTAGAGGGAGAAGGTAACTCAAAACCTACTTAGGGCACCAACAATGATTCATGCATCAATATATCCAATCCAAAATTCAATCCAGCCAGACTGGGCATAGGGACAGTCAGAACAAGAATCCAAGCTCTGCTCCTTTAAAATTGTTCTGCCTCCATAGAATATGGGAAGGAATTAACTTGAGGAAATTGATCTAGAAGGCCCTGGGGTTCTGGGATGGCGCCTCTTCGGAGGGAGAAAGTACAATATAACTGCCAGTTCCCCACTGCCTTTTCAAGCAGATTGACACTACTTTTTTTTTTCTAATTTTAATAATTTTGATTATTTGGATTTTGATTCTTGTCATTTTCCCGGGGGAGGGGGTGGACTGAGTAGTCTGGAAACCTATTGACCCCCTCCTGCTCTGACATGCCAAGATTTTCTAAAAATGTGAACTTGGGGCCCTCCCTGGTGGTGCAGCGGGTTAAAGCACAGCACTAAGAAGCTAAAGCCACTTCCGCATGAGTTCGATTCCCGCCTGCCCCGGAGGTGACCACATGGCATGGCAGACCTCTCCTGACCCGCCCGCTGCTCCCCTCAGCAGTGTACTTCGTCGATCTGCCTGTTCTGCTTCCCACTCTGTCTCTGGTGAAGCCTCTCACCCTCCGCATCTCTGGCCTGTACCCCAGTTCTGTACAAATAAATAAATAAATCTTTAAAAAAAAAATGTGAACTTGGATGTGTGGCCAGCCCAGGTGAGACTGGCCAGGAAATAAGCAGAACAGAGAATCTGTTAAGCCCCAGGGCAGCCCCAGGGTTCAAACCCTGACTCTGCCACTTGCTTGCTGGGTGATCTTGACCAATTACTTTCCCCTCTCTGATCCCTAGTTTCATCTCTAAAATGGTGATACTAATACCTTCCTCTGAGTACCACTGTGAAGAGTAACTGAGTCAGTGACAGGATCCTGATTATGGCTGGAGCCTGTAAGAAATGCTCAGGATGCCCAGGTCATGTTGCTACTGCTGATAATATTGCTCTAAGTGTTTCTATTCAGGCTGCTGAAGATATCCAGTGAGATATGACTGCAGTCCAACTTCAGAGATGCCCCCAGCCCAGTCAGACATTTACTCTGATTCTTGGAGGAGGGGAAAAGCAGGGTGAGCTGGTTACCCCCATTCCAAGTCCCACCAAGTAGGCCCCCCAGATTGAAGCAGCTACGTTAGCACTGGGGCTGGGGGTGGGGTGGCAACTCCAGCCTCAGGGGCCCATCTCAGGTGACTGGGCAGCAACGAGGCAGAAACCCTCTCAGCCTGCAGTGGGGTAACCTGACACCATCGGACTCTGATTTCCCATCCAGGGCTGGCCGTTGTGGGGGTGGGTGTAAGCACCCACCTACACAGAGACCTCTTCCCCCACATCCTAGGTCCTCTTCTCCAAGCCCCCATATCCAAAGTGTCCACCACAAGGGGTCTTGGTGGGAAGGAATGGGGCGTCTCCTTGAACTGAAGAGTTGAGGAGCATGGGTTGTGCCTCGGTCCTCGGCTATGGCCTGACCCCCAACAGCAGAAGGAATAGAGGTAGCTGGGGAACCGGCAACGCACAAATAGGGAAGCTGAAATGAGGGGAAGCCCCGCCGAAGAGCCTGTGGAAGGACGACCGAGGTGCCTCCGGAGCCTGACGTCAGGGCCAGGATCCCTGGCCCGGGGGCCCGATCTCTGGAGAGTCACCAAGTCCGGGAGCGGGGACGCGGGACGGTTGGGACCAGGCAGCCAGCGCCTCTCCGCAAACCCGGCCCCTCAACCTCTTAGCTCAAGAACAAACTTTGGAAAGGCGCCCACACTCCTTCCCGCGCCCCGCCTGGCTTTGGGGCGCGGGGTTGGCGGTGAGCTCCCGCGCCAGGCCCGGCGGCCCCCCGGGTGCCCACTCACCAGCGCACCAGCTGCCAGCGCTTCTCCCCCGGTCCCCGGCGACCCGCCATGCCTAGCCCGGCCAGCCGCCCGCTCCCAGAGAGCAGCACCCGGGAGGCGGCTCCCACTGCCGAAGGGCCGTGCCGAGGGCGCTCGCAGTCGCGGGCTGCAGCGCGGGGTCCTGCGGG